GTAGAACTAACTGACTCGACGTTCATATTGAAGGTTGTGACTCTGATATTGGTTGACAGTTGTTTTGAGTTCCACGTGCTCTTCAATTCTAGGAATGCTGCCCTTGCTTTGACAATCCTCGCCTTTACGTCTGCATCCGATCCTCCTTGTACATCGATGGTGTTTCCCAGGTACATGGAAGATTCCACTACTTCCAGTGCTTCTCCATTAAGTGTGATTGGGCTGATGTTCTTCGTGTTGTATTTGGAGATCTTGCTTTTTCCTCTATGTATGATGAAGTCTACTCACGCAGAGGTTACAGTTACATTAGTTGTCTTCTGCATTTGTTGGTGTGTATGGGATAGAAGGGCCAGGTTATTTGCGAAGTCCAAATATTCTAATTTATTCCGACTTGTCTATTGTATTCCGTGTTTCCTCTCATATGTTGAGATCTTCATAATCCAGTTAACCACGAGAAAAAAGGTGAGAGTAAGCAGACTTGTTTGACACTGGTCCTCACTTGCAATACATCTGTCAACTGTCCTCCATGTCCATGGGGTTTGAAGGAAGAATTACGACACCTCAGGATGAAAGAAGAGATTCTTCAGAAGTCATGAACCTGATGCCATTTCCAATAACCAGGTACATGGAACTACTGGACAATGTTACTGACTGAGAAGACTCGTCAAATAGAAACAGAAATGAGGAGATACAATTTGACAGTACTTGGAATCAGTAGACACTGGTTAGCAATCAGTAATTATTTGATAGTGTACTGAAGATCAAGATTAAAAAGTGTAATTTAGCGGAGAGCCAATAAGACTGAAAATACAAACCATCCGAGTTTTAGTTAAATTTCAAAATACGATACTAATATACTTTGAGCTTATTAATAGCTAAATAGATCTAAATCCATAATTAGCTCTCAAGATGTAGAAAACTAAGAAACATACCCGTCGTACATTCATACAGTGAATACAACATGATATGAAGACTAAGTGATGATAAAACTTTTAAATAAATGCCCAATTCGATTTTCTAGACTCTTCTAATAATCCTAAATTGAAAGGCATCAAATACAAAACTAATGACTGATAATAAGGATCTCATTGATCATCAAAACTAATCGAATAGATTTAAGAATAAACAGTTAACTTTGTCTAAAGTGAACTGAATCATATTTATTATCATTATCCAGTAACTTTAGTTGATATTGTTTTACTTGGATCTTCCCATTGATGTTTAAGACTGTAATTGATCAATCTCTTATTGGTATAAGTGTATACTGTGCTTTATGCATCGATATTACCTTAAGTAACAAGCGTTATAAACAAAGATGGATAGTACTTGCTTGTAGTGGAATCCAATTTGATATGTGTTTCGTCCTATTTGGGACTCGTGCAATGGATATACTTGAATCCTAAAGTTGATGTTCACTCTGAAACACGAACTCAGTACTATTCTTTTCAAAAGTAAACGAGTTATCCATTCAACTACTACATCCTGATAGCCACTTGCATATGCAATGGGATAAAGATTAGATTCACTTCGTATTATTATTATTATTATTATTAGTGTTTGTTGTTGTTGTTGTTGTTGTTGTTGTTGTTGTTGTTGTTGTTTAAGATTGTAATTGATTAAGTTAATTTCATGATTACACTGTGTTCTCTTGTATCACCCCCCCCCATCTGTAAATGATTTCATACAAAATTGACAAAATCTAACAAACAAACAACAAGTGAATGAACTTAATTTTGTTTTGTTTCTTGCTTGTTTGTTTGATTTTGTTTAATTCTTTGTTTGTTTATTTCATTCTTGTTTTAATTCTCAACTTCTGTTGTTGTGGTTGGTGGTGGTGGTGGTGGTAGTGATGGTGGTGGTTTTCATCGGTGAGAAATTTGATACCTTACTGTTATTCTTCATTGATTAGTTGTTTTTCTTTCATGATTAAACTCCTTTTTTGGGGGAGGGGGAGGGAGAACAATATTTATTTATTTATTTATTTATTTATTGATGTTTCAAGATAGTTACAGATGGTTTGATAAGATTTTCTTTTAATTGAATAATACACGCAAACTTCTTTGTTTTGGTTTACTTTTTCTTTGAAAGTACGGTGTTCAATTACAGAATTTTCTATTATACTAAAGTTTAATGAGTATTATGTAACAATTGAGAATATCAAATTCATGATTTCAATTGTTTTATTATTGAAGTGACATTCTTTAAGATGAAGTATTCATCGGGATTTTGAACAAAGTCTTCCACTTATTCATTATTCATCATCTATCTTCATTGTTTTCAATGAACTATGAAGTTAACTAGAATTATTATTTAGTTTATAAGTAAAGATAGATAGTGGCTAGAATCACTGGAATTCAGTTTGACGCGTGTATCTTCCTATTTAGGACTCATTAACTGGATGTACCTTCATCTCAGAGTTGATGTTCATTCTGGGACTCGAATTAAAGCCATATAAACTGAAAATTACTATAAACTATCAATTGTGTCATTCTATGTGATAATTGGTTTGGAAATAAACTCAACGACTGATATTTAACGAGTTTCAACGGTTCGTCCAGCATACTGATCTGAACTTCTTTCAGAGTAATAATCTAAATGAAGATCATCAGTGGAATATATAACGTTTAACAATCAAAGGATCAACAAGAATGGTAGGTTGCTCATACCGGTCAAATGTCATTAGTTTGGCACATTGTTAAGATTGTATAAGTCATATTCCGATTGATGGATAAATCCGGTGATAATTAGCGGATCATAAAGTCACAACACTCTGAAGTGGTTCATAAAAGATTACTGGACGAAATGTTGAAATTATTTATATTTCAATCGCTGAGTCTATTTCAAATGTAATTTTCACATATAATGACTTCTTTATACTCGGTGCCCAGTTTTTGTCAAACTATTCGTTCACATAGTGACGAACATTCGTGAGTCGACATAAGCTGGATTTAGTTTAAGACATTAGATGAATTTGGGTAGTCACAAAACAACGTTCAAACTAGTTTTATTCTAGTGAATACACATGGAAAATGTGTATCGGTAATGTTTAATGAAAGGATGTGTCCGTACAGGACTCGAACCTGCATCGCCTAGCTTCATAAACTCAAGTATCACTACTAAAATATACAAGGGGCAACTGACTCTTTGTAGGACAACAATTGATTCCCCTAATCAATAGCCCTGCAATCAGATTCCAGTTTGTAAAACTAGATAACATAGGTCATAAGCCTAACTCAATAATTAGTTCCCATAAGAGTTTAGGTACACCTAAAGAATAAATGCCAGCTAACGTAAAATCTAAGTCTAATGTTTCCTCCAGACTACATCCAACCACTTAAGATTTAGTAAACAATAGTTTCACTTTCTAAGTGATTTGTACTGTGATTAAATCTAAATAAAAAGCTGAGATTAATGAAATCAACTCTGTCGAGCTTCAGTTATGTTAGTGTGTAGGAATTATTTGGTATAACGAGTACTATCTATGCAAAATATCATGATAATTTATAAACTGGCTTTCATATACGGCAAATCATTTGACATAAGATTCTAGTTAATCAGTCGGTATAATTGATGAATTTTAAAGGCATAATGTGGTGTGTACTACTAATATGTTAACAAATATAAGTAGTATGTATCATCAATCGAAAGTGAAATGTTTGGAGGCAGAAAGTTAAGAAAATCGAAGAAAAGAAGAATAAGAACATTTCACAGGTCGAAATCATGAGTCAACTGAAGCTAGACCACTATGGAAAACCTGGAAGCACTGGACGGCCGTCTCGTCCTAGTATGGGACTCCTCAGCAGTGCTCATCCACGTAAATGAACGTTGTGAAAACGAAAGAACAATGAAGTCTTAGACGACTGATTGCCATTTCACAAATGAAATATTACTATTTGATTCTCAGATTTTCCTAAGACATTATCCCGACCATAGTTGCTACCTTGACGCGGTGGTTGGGCTTGCCTATCATGAGGACCCAACCGAGCTATATTCGCTGGTAGCTATGTTGCTGTAGGGTCTACCATGCCAGGCAGGTCGATTGGAGAACGGTAAGACCAAAAGCAGCAACTCAAGGTCTAAGGGCGAAGTCGTACTGCTGACTGTAGAGAGGTGTGACAGCGTTAAGGTGTTTCCCTCGGACAACCAGCATCTGCAGCGATGCTGCCTTCTCACAAGGAAGAAGGGGGTTAGAAAAGGTCGACCCTAAAAATGTCACACCTCACCTTACCTCACAGATTTCCATCTCCGGCGGTAAGACCCTTTGAAGAACAGAGCTAACACGTCAAAAACCCCCCATAAGAAGGCCGTGCGCGACCGGCCTCAAGCAGTTGTCCCTTGGGCTCTGCGGTCACGCTCCAAGGTCGTTAAGGCCAAAATTAATCCAACTTCTTTTTCAGGTTCCTCAAGAAATACCCTTCCACAGTGTGGGCAGACGGGAAGTGATATCAGCCAGCATACCCGTAACAGCACATGAGACCAAGTTGGTCACATTCGAATCCTTCCTACACCTCCTGACTGACTGACTAAGACATTCTGTAATTTATGTATTCAAATACATTCGGTTATCCTCACGTGTGTTCTCGTTCAGTACAACAGAACAGTAATAACACATTTTGCTTTAACGACTATTGAATTTGAGCTTTAATTAAACAGCCATTAAAAGTCAGAATGTATAGTATGAAAATACTTAATAGCATTCATCTACAGTGCTACAGCACTAATCTAATCCACGAAATTCAAGCATCATACTGTACCTCTAATTATTAGACTGTTGAGCTAGTATACAACTTCAATCAATTCATAATACTGTCCAACTATCTATTTATTGTCAATTTGTCATAGATATCGTATATTGGACTAGAATTGTTTACCGTTTCCTAAATTCTAATCCTTGCCATTAGAAGACATAGTTGAGTCATTTTACATCTTAATCTTTATGCGGTGACACAGTTTTGAAAAGAGGTCCCAGTTGAAACATTCAAAGAAGACTTTGATCAGTAGTGGAGATGTGTATTTTCATCAGATGCGACAAATCTGTAATAATAATGACTAAAACAGTATACAATTGAATTAAGATAAAAATAAAGATTGTTTATTTACACAAGGTATAATCTAATGGACTATCTAAACTATGAAATGAATATGATACATTTGAACTGGATAATGTTTGATCAAGTGATTGATTGATTATGGATTTTGTTGAATGTAATTCCAGTGGAATTTCCTCCTCCTCCTCTTCTTCTTCATAATCATCACCATCGACTTGTGATTCATTCTGATCAAGATCAGTCTTCTGATCACCTTCATTGTGTACATGATATTCTTGTGACTTCATCATTTTACAGATTGTAGCATCATTATTTACATCAGTAACAACAACAACAGCACCCTCATCATCATCATGATTACGAGTAGGATCAAGATCACTTTGATTGAGTTTGTGATCAATCAAGTTGACCACCATGAAACTGACATTGACTGGAGGTTGAGTGGAGAGTGGATGAGATCTGAAGAATACAGAATCGAGTGAAGAACATGATGAATTCACATATTGACAATCAACTCGATGGTGATCAGAGATAGGAATACTGAGAGGAATGATAGTGTTTGTTGTGTGGGTAGTACTGGTGATGGCGGTAGCATGTGTATTGTTATTATTACTATTGGTAGTAGTAGTAGTAGTGGTACTGTTAGTAGTAGTTGTAGTAGTAGTAGTAGTAGTAGTATGGTTGGTACTTGCAATTGAATTTGGAACCAGCAATACAGGCTTGTCACATGTGCGTTTACCATCCATGTCAGGTTGAATGGATGAATGATGATTTTTGAGTAAATGCATCAAATTGATGTAGAAAAGATCGATCAATGTGTCGTTGGTGCAACTCGAATTGCATAGTTGATTGGTGTGTTTAGTGTTTGGATTGATTGTTTGAATTCAGTGGAATTATTCATTCGACTTGTCGGTGATGCATTTATCGGTGATTGGTGAGGTAGTCGGTGTGAATTGTGTACGAGTGGGACAGGTGATGCATTGAATAGGAGAGGAGTTGTGATATTTGATGGATTGTTTGTGTGGTGGTTGTTAGTAGAATCGGTCAACTGATCAAATGTGAATATGTTTGTGTTTGCGTTTGTGATTGGTATTGATGTATGTGGTGGATTGTATGATTTGGCATTGAATGTGTGTTCGTGTGTTGTGAGTGTTGGAGAGGAATTTGGTGTGAGTGTTGACCTGATCAGCTGATATGTGGGTATGTATGGATGTAGAAATCGGAGAAGTGTTTGTGGAATGAGTGGAGAATTGAGTGTTGGTGAGTTTCGGTGATCAACTCGATCACCACTAACACCACCACCACCATCACCATCAACGTCATCACCCTCATCATCATCGTCGTCGTCGTCATCATCATGAATTTTATCGTCAGGTCGACTCAGTCCTAATGCTCGACGTACTTTGCGTTGTGCTCTACGTCTTCTGAAGTCACCACTGAGAAAGTCTTTCAAGTTGGCTGGATGGATTCCCCAATAGTGTCCTTTCCCCATTTGCTGCTCTACCTGTCAAATAAATGTACAAAATAAATTAGATTTCAATCAGATTCTTTTGTTGAGTGATAAATTGTGTGGAACATGCAAATGAAATATCTGAAATTAACTTCCGAGTTATCGAAGAGTTGACGGAATTCGTGGTGTTATGCTTGATGAGAGTAGTGAATGGTTGTGCAAATCAGGAAGCAATCTTCAACATGATGTGTTTGAACGGTTGGAGTGTGTTTCTTGATTAACCGTGATGTGGAATACGGATTGTTCACCATGAGTTACACTGAGTAGTTATGAACATAATCGTCACGTCTCACATTCCATGAGAAATCACGGTTTCATTTGTGCAAATTGGAATATTATTTATGGTGATAATTGGTAGTGAGTGGCTTACTGCCATCACCACTCTCCATCAGCATATTAATTTTCCGATAGGTGGTGGTTTCCCAGTTTACATTGAGTAGATACTTAGAATGTTGCTGGTGATTATCAGTAATGAGTTGTGGACATTGTGAGTACAGACTGATATTATGAATGGATCAATGTTAGGCCACCATTGAAAACTGAGAGAACTGGGACGGACATTTTGTTCTCATATGGGACTAATGGACATTGCGCATCCACGATGCCGCGCGCGAGACCCGAAAGTCTATGCCCACTGAACCGGGTGAATGAATGCGACCAACTGACCGGTTACCAGTCACCTCGACACATTCAGTATCGTCATTCGGATAATTTCGGTGAACAAAACACACTGTTCTCATAATGGAATGAATCAGTGAATGAATCAGTGAGTGAAACGTCACAATTGCAATGACAAACACACACCATCACAACACCTAACAACTTACCGAACTTTAATAAAACAATCATTCAATGACAAGTTGTGTTCGAATGGAATTACGCCATCCTGGTCCACGTGTACAGAAATATGGATAACGTAGTTGAATCCATTGATATATTCTGACAATATCATACGTCTTTCTTGTGTACTGAGTATGGCCTTTGCAATCAATCCTAGAATGATTCGATTGAAAGCGAATAAACAACATGGTCAAATTTACTGAATAATATGTGGATAAATGACAAATTAATTGAGATTTAAGTGTGCACTATTAGGAATTACCAGTTGATTCACTGATTACATTGAAAGACTGGTGCGGTGTCTGATGAAGTCTAGTCAATTCTACATTAAGACTGTTATATCTTCCGTAGTGGTAATCAATACTGAAGTCAGCAGCAACATCTCACATCACCTCATTGTCTACCACTATTACACAGATTTCGCTGCTGTTTATTGAGGGAGAGAATTTCGTGAAGATGTTTGTTCGACAGATCTGTTTATTGATGATTGAAGTGTAACATGCAGAAAATGATTATAGAAAGGATATTGGTTCCAAAAAAAAAAGTGATGACAGTGATCAAATGGCAACACTTCACCATGTGTTCATCTTCGAGAAGCAAGATTCTGTCAGTTCGAGTAAAAAAAAAAAAAAAAAAAAAAAATAATAGTAAGAGACTGAAGTTTTCACTAATTATTTTATATGCAACATTCGATTACACTTTTAGTAGCGAAATGTGAAGATGAAATGATGAGTCGTGTGATCTGAGATAGACGGAAAGAAGACACACACACACACACACAGTCACATATTCATTATATCAGTCCACTTTCAAATGAGTTCGTTTCCATTTCCAATGATCATTTGTGTGCATATTACGATTGAATAATAATGATTATACTACTGAATATAAAGATCGATTGGGATAATTCACAGACGACAATTTTCTCTTTTCGACTTTATCATTTACTGAATTCATCATTCACCATATGCGTACTGTTCACTTCAATGTTAACTTTATTCCATTCATCATAATTCTACACCATAATTATGGATGATTATGTATACTATTAGCAATATAACTATGATTATTACTATTATTATTATTATGACATCAGTGTAACAGGAGAGGTGTTGGTGTATTCGCAGAGCATACACTCAACCACAAACATCCAAATGATTGTTGCAAGTGGTTCATTGAGAAACAGTAATCAAACTGTTTGTTTTACTGACAATTTACATCAATCTCAGATGTACAAACCACAATCACTCACACTCACACACACTCACATACAATATTATCTCACAGGTATATTATAACACTTGATTAGCATATTGAACGCACTGTCCCCTTTCATTTGTAACAATGTGTAAGTGATGAATGAACAAATGAATGAATGATTGTGGTTGAGATGAAAATCAAAACACTTTGAAAATTAATTGAAGGTTACCCGGAATTGTGTTTACCACGCCTGTCGAAACACACAAACACACTGATAGATCAACATGACACTATTCTACAGCTCGTGTTAATAACCTCATCATCATCATCATCGTCATCATCATTACAGACATCAGAAATTATTATTATTATTATTATTATTATTATTATTATTATTATTATTATTATTATCATTGAGAGTATTCTACCGATCAGCGTTAATTAACACTCACTCACACACAATTAATGAATCCAAGTAAACGTGCTGAAACATTTGTTATTGATGAAGTGAAAGTAATGTTAAAAGAAATTGAAGCAAGAAAACATATCTTATTATCATTTCACCATCAACAAATCGTTTAAAACGTAGAGCATGGGAAGAAGTTGCTGTATGTATGGCAAATCGTTGGCCACATGCACCAAGAAGAACAGCTGATCAAGTAAGTTTGTTTGATAATAAACACCTTTTTTTTTCTTTCTTTCTTTTACAATCATTCATATGAGTCTATGATAAAGGTCGTATAGGTCATTCAGCCAGTCAGTCAGTCAGCTACAACGTAGGACAGGCCATATATGCTCGGTCCAAGTTGCCATACTTCATTAACCCAACGAGATAGACACCGGATTCATGAACGTAGTTAATCAATCGTGGTATAATAGAAGAAAGATTGCTTATAAGAATATGGTACAGGAAGAAAGAATTAGTGCGTAGAAAGAAAGATACGAAACGACTTTAATCTCTTAGCTTAAGGGAAGAGAGAGAGAGAGTTTTACACCGACGCCATTGTGATCGATTCTTAGCCAATGTCACCAAGAGTCTCCAACCATTGGTTACGATAGTCACGCGGACCCCAACCAAGTGGTCTGGATCTACCAACATGGCTCAGACTGGAAGTTAGTGACTTCAAGCACTGATGCCACGTTTTGGTTTGACCGCCCCTAAATTTCTTCTAACCATCCCGAACACCGGTCGTATAGGATTGTACAGTTGTTTTCATTCTGTTCTAAAACTTTTCGATTCTTATAGGGATTGGATCTAAAAGTTATAATCAGAATGGGAAAAGTCCCATACTAGGATGAAATATCTGTCCAGTGCTTCCAGGTTTTCCATAGTGATCTACCTTACATTGATTTTTGAATTGAACTAAAAGTTATACTTTGAAGTAGTTACACTCACTGTATTTATTTATTTAAACACATAAATATTGGTACGTGGAGGCACCAAACATAAGTCATTCGATTTGTATGAGGGCTGAGATATTGCCCGGTGTCAAAATGCAAACATGTGGTTTTCTTTAGGGGGCCACACTCGGAAGGCCTTCGACCTCGAGGGTCTAATCCACAAGGCAAGTGGAGCAATGTTAGGCGATGCAGTCCTATGGTACCGGTGCCCACCGACTGGTTCATACGCCAGTTTGTTCAATCAGGATACTGGAGCCAGCCCATGTGCACAGTGGTTTGGAATGAGGGTTTTCCAACTGCTCCTAGGTGGACTCTCCGTGTCCACCAAGCCGGTTAAAGCACTGGAATTCGCTTTTTATCCTACTCAATTCGTAAAAACACACCCGGGTGTGAGAGGCAGGGAGTAGAGGTATTCCCTGACATTTTTTATATACTCGCGGCCTGTGAGCATTTCGAGAGTGAGAGCTTACTCTCCCCACTTTCGGCCGTACCAGGAACCGATTGACTGATATATTTGTAGAATGTAAAATACTTTAAAATTGATTATTATGTACAGCTAAGATTATCCGTCATATAAATGATGATCATGTGAGGATTGAATGCTGTTCAACAAATCATTCAGTTGAGTATATTGACAAAATATGACGTGAGATAAGGGTATATTAGTTCAAGTTTATGTTATTCAAATCATCAAAGCCACCATGAGAATTGGGAAAATAGGATGTAAATAGGTTTAAACTAATTCCAGAGTATATCTAAATCATTCACATTGAAATTAGTGAATAAATTTGTACTCGATGTTATAATTGGTTAAATTTAAAGTTTATTATATCACAATTTGATCATTAAGACTAATTCTATATTACTAATTAAGTAGTGTTTTACCACTAGTTAATTGTTCTTCTACAGAAAGTGCATTCGACAGACACTAGTATTAGCCGGAGATGTCAATTATCAGGTTGAGCATCTAGGCATAGAAAGAGTCGTTTAGATGACCGATGACGACTTGTTGATCACAGGTCAGATAATGGTGACCGTCTACTGCAACTCTGTGCAGAATACAACCTGTTTCTGGTTAACACTAACTACTTGCATAGTCATCACTGATGTTACGTGGTGTCCTCTTTCTGCATTTCAAACCTAGATCACATCGCGATCGCCTACCGCTGGAGTGGTTGTGTGCAAGACTGCCGCTCCTTTTGGAGTACCTATCTAAACTCTGATCATGTCCCTGTTTGAGTTGATCTTACCTTACATTTCAGTGGCCAAACAATTCATCGTTCTACACGGATCGATGTAAGTAAACTGGTTGCAGCTTCTGTTGCAACTAAATATCAAACCGAGCTAGGTTCAAGGTTAGCTACCATTACACCGAACAGTAGAGATGGGCATTGGTTGCAATTTCATGAAACCATGAAAATGGCGAGTGAAGCCACTTGCGGCTTCGCGAAACGTCCCACTTATAAGCACTGGGTTTCCTCAGGCTCCTTACAACTCACAGAAGCCCGTCGGTCTACTCTGAGTGATCGTGAGTTTGACCACAACGAAGGATGTTACGTAATGAAATTGTGCAAACCTTGCGTAAGGACCGAGAAGCCTGGTGGTCAGAGCGTGCTAACTAGTTAGAAGCAGCTTCTGTATCCGGTAACTGCCGGAAGCTCTTTCAACTCAATCGAGTCACGGCAACAAGAAGTCAGGTGTGAGTGAAACATCTCGTGAAGATGAGGGGATGCCAATCGCTAACATCTACCGACGTATTGGATGATGGACAAAGATTTTTCGAGAAGTAGTTCAACTAGTCTGCTGTTCCGGCAACATCGTCCTGCTCTACATGACTCGTGACGACTGATCCACCTAACGCCATCGATGACGTTCGGGTAACACCTCTGGTGGATGTAGGTAATGGAGGTGTAGATCTGTTTTTGTTGCCTGAAGACTTTTCGGCCTTAAGTATGCGGATGATATTGTCTTACTGTGCGATAATGCCCAAGGCATGCAATACGCACTTAATCAGTTGGCAATCAGTGTCCGTAGGTATGGCATGTGCTTTGCACCTTCCAAGTGCAAAGTACTTCTACAAGACTGGCAGGATTCTAATCCTGTACTCGCCCTGGATGGTGAGCAGATAGAAGTAGTCGAGAAGTTCGTGTATCTGGGTAGCTACATAAGTGCTGGTGGCGGCGTGAGTGATGAGATCAATGCACGTATAGTGAAAGCCAGAGCGGCTTATACCAATCTGGGCCATCTTTGACGCCTTCGTGATGTTATTCTGGCTGTAAAAGGTCGGATCTACAACGCGTCGGTGAGAGCAGTTTTGCTCTATGCTTGTGAAACCTGGCCTCTCCGAGTTGAGGATGTTAGACGACTCTCTGTGTTCGACCATCGTTGTCTCCGAAGGATTGCTGACATCCAGTGGCAACACCATGTCAGTAATGCAGAGGTTCGGCATCGTGTGTTCGGGCACAGAGATGATAATTCAATTGGTGTCACCATCTTGAAACACCGACTTCGGTGGCTTGGACATGTTCTACGAATGTCGTCCCAGAGAATTCCACGTCGTGCATTATTTGCCGACTCTGGGACTGGTTGGAAGAGGCGGAGAGGTAGGTCAGTGCATGACATGGTGTCGTGGTATGAAAGAAAGCTTCAAAGGACTGGCTTCTGTCGGTCCTTCACGACTCCCTGGATGGGGTCCTAGAGGTGGTGCGACACTGGCTCTCATACACTTGTTTTGTTCTTCTTATTAAATGCACTTTATATTCTCTGTCCCTTCACAACCTCATTGTTATTGTGTGGCGCATCTATATTTAATGCCATCTTATACCGATATTTGTATGTTCAAATGAATAAATAAAATGGTGTTTTCGGAGAATGTACTCTTTCAATTGCGTACATGTATTCGCATGATTACTTTATTCCATATTAATATATGTTGATAATCTGTGGTTTTAATCGATTTAAACTGAAATAAGGAAACATTGTTATGTAAAGCTTTTCACTTCCTCATACAAAACCCTAACACAGTACTCGATAACTGAGACAGATAAATAGTCTTATAGCTACTCGAATGTTGTGTGTGTTCAATATTGAAGGTGTTATCCATTAGTCTCGAATCCGATATGATTTTCCTTTTCGATAATGATTTATCCCTCTATTCATCATACGTATCATTCTCTAAAAAAAAAACACAATTGACTGTTCACTGAAACTTTGGTCCAGCTAGTGTGTGCTACTGATTTGTTGACAGATATAAGTAGTATGTATCATCAATCGAAAGTGAAATGTTTGGAGGCAGAAGATTAAGAAGATCAAAGTAAAGAAAAGAAGAACAGGGAATGATTAGTATAGAAACGAAGAGACAATGAAGTCTGAGATAATTGATTGACACTTTACAGGTGAATTATTTACTGTATGGTTTTCTCAGATTTGAGTAAGAAACTCTGTAATGTTGTGTCCAAATACATTTGGTTGTCCCCAGTTGTGTGTTCTTGTTCACTACACGACTTTTTATAAATTGTTACTGACATTTTAATTTTCGTCAATTTCAACGTTAAATCATACCTTCCAATAGGATTTAGAATAATGTATATTTTCTAAAAACAAAAAATCTATTTTATTAGGTGAATTCATGATTCAATTAAAACTTGACTACCATAGAAGACCTGGGAGCACAGGACGGCCGTTTCGTTTTATTGTGGGACTCCTCAGTGGCAGTGCACATCCACGATCCCGCACGCGGAATTCGAACCCGGGACCTATCGGTCTCATGTGCGAACACTTAACCTCTAGATCACTGAGCCGGCAGGCATCCAACGGTGTTAATGTCCAGCTCCTACCAATCTACAACACTATGCGACTGTCCAACATTTTCTTCAGTCAGTTATTATCTCGCAACAGACTCGGTTGAACTCCGATAGTCACCACTTCTCACTAGAACTCCAGGAACTATCTCTTGATGTTATTCACTAGTGAACAGATGATAAACACACTGCTGTGGAGTCCCATAGTAGGACGAAATGGTCGTTCAGTACTTCCAGGTTTTCCATGGTCTTCCAGCTTCAATTGACTCATGATCTCAACTATTGAAATTACTACGATCTCCACAAAGCCCCCTCTGATACTAATTAACATATGTTCACTAGTGACTGGCTTCAAGAGATTTATCCTGGAGTGACCAGTGGAGTTCAGCCGGGTCAGTTGTGAGATAGTAACTGACTGATGACAATGGTAGATGTGTCGCTCAATTTCGTGGATTAGTTGAAGTTAGACATTAACACAGTTGGATACCGGCCGGCTCAGTGGTCTAGTTGGTTAAGCGCCTGGCGAGAGACTGATGGGTCCTGGGTTGGAATCCTGCGAGGCGGGATCATGGATGTGCACTGCCACTGAGGAGTCCCACAATAGAACAAAACGGTCGTCTAGTGCTTCCAGGTTTTTCATGATAGTCTAGCTTTAATTGACCCATGATCTCAACTATTGAAATTACTACAATCTCCACAATACCCCTTCTGATATCAAAAATTACTATAAACTCCACAAAAGCCCCCTTTCTGATAATGATTCATTTAATTTATTGAATAAACTAATTGTTTAATATTTTTTTGCTATTTTCAGGTCAAGAAAAAATGGGAAAATCTTGTATCAAAAACAAAACGTAAAGTACGCGCTGGTCATGTTACACCAGAATTAGATTGGAATGAAACAAATGCAGCTGTTATGCAATTTCTTACACAACATAGTCCACCAGTACGTTTACGTTATTTAACATCAACTACACCATCATTACTTAATCTTGGCAATTTACAATCATCATCATCATCATCTTCGATGTTATCAACAGCAGCAGCGGCAGCGGCCGCAGTAGCCTCATCTTCATCATCAATTAATTGTACAAATGGATTTAATCATATGAATTCAAATAATTATGGGTTATCGAATAGTAATTTTTTAGATTCATATAATAATAACAATAATAATATGAATTCATCCATTTTTCCTAATAATCAACAATCATCTTTTATGTTGTCAAACTCAAATCGAATTTTATGAATTCCAACATGAATCAAGACAAAAATAGTAGTAATAATAACAATAATAATGGTAATAATAATAATACTGGTCAACTCTCATTTGGTAATCATGATACAAATAAGATGAATTCATCAACAGAGGAAAATGATGTGGATATGACAAATATAACGAATATTCAAAATAATACTGTTGAAGGGTATGTTAAACTACTTTTTTCGTACCCTCTCTCTGTCTGTCTGTGTGTGTGTGATAGTATCTATGTTTAATTCCATTGTTTTTAAATATAATTTATCGGTCAGTCGAATAGTACTTAGTGTGTATACTATCATTTTAGCATGTATTGTTGAGATTTGTTGTTGTTTAGATTCGACACAGGAACTAATGATAAGGAGTGAAGTAGTTGAGCGTGTCAACTGCTTCATTTATCTTGGGAGTCTCATCAGCCCTTGTAGTCTGGTGTATGAAGAAATCTCAGTACAGATACAGAAGACTCGACTAGCTTTTGCCAACTTGCGTCATTTATGGCGTAGGCGAGATAACCGTCTACCAACCAAAGGACGAGTTTACAGTGACCCAGTTCGTTCCGTCCTACTCTATGGCTGTGAAATATGGCCAGTAAGAGTAGAGGATATTCGTAGGTTACTAGTATTTGATCATAGGTGTCTTCGAAGCGTTGCTCGTATATCCTCGGATCACCGAGCAAGTAATGCAGTTGTTAGGAAACGGGTACTAGGTAAGGATGGAAAATCAATTGATGAATTAGCGAATCTTCGTCAGTTGAGATGGCTGAGATACGTGTTACGTATGCCCAACCACCGACTGCCTCGACGTGAAATGTTTTATGATGTAGGAGTAGGTTGGAAGAAAGCTAGGGGCGGCCAGACCAAAACATGACACAAATCCATGAAGTCACTGACAAGTGAACTGAGTCATATTGGTAGGTGTAGACTACCTGGTTGGGGACCATGAGATGATAGTAGCTGTTATGACTTTATGTCCATCTTTTTATCACGTGATCTATCCACCAATCAAAATACGACTTATACAATCTCCGCACTGTGCCAAAACCCATGACGTTCGACTAGTATGAGCAGCCTAGCGTCCTTATTGGTCCTATGTCCGCCTAACCCGTCCACTTGAGTCCAGAACACCAATACCAGCTTCCACTATGCTATGCGAATCAAATCGAATCATTTATTTCAGACATACTAGGTTTATATATCAAACAAACAGACCGCAACGCACCATTAAATAAGAAATAACATTTGTACACAATAAAGCCAAAAAGTGACTGTAAACGTGGGAGGCAGTAGTCAATAAACTGAACATAACTTAGGAACAGTAAATCGTATAATAATAAATTATAGGTCAAAATAAAGCTTATAATAAGAGAAATATGAATATACACAATCTAATTATTGAATATTTATACCATAAGAATATATAAATAATATTAGTCCATTAATAAGTCTCAGAAGTTACTCATGATTTAATCTTCGCTCGGATATGACAGTAACCAATGATTAGAGACCCTGGATGACATGGCTCAAAATGGTTTGCAATGGCACAGGTGCATCCACTCTTTATGTTCCCCCGAATTCTAATCTTCTGAATTCTTCGTTTCCCGTTTTTTCTCTTTCCAAATTTAATTCACTGGATTATACTCCTTAAATAACATCTTCAAACCCTAATGTTTCCGATTACTGCTTATACTCTTACTACCTCTACCACTACGTGATTTGAATCGACAACTGGATCTCTGTGCTAATGTGTTATGGCAACTCGAAGTGATGTACGTATGTACGTACGTACGAAGTTCTACGTTGGTACTGACTGACTGAGTACGATTTACAAGTATATTGTATGCAGTAATTCACGGGTATGAGAATCTTGACGATACCCTGGTACGACCGAGAGTAAAGAAAGTTAGCTCTCCCTCTCGAAACACTATCACATGGCCACGTACATACAACTACTGCCAGAGAAGTCCTACTCATTACAAAATTGAAAGGATGAGAAGCGAATGTCTGGCGCTTTAACCGGGTCGGTGGACATGGAGAGTCCACCTAGGAGAGTTGGGAAACCTTGTTTTCAAACAAATGGTGCTCATGAGCTCCAGGATACTGACTAAGCAAATGGTGCATGAATCAATTATTGGTCACCGGCTACCATGGGACTGCATTTGCTAACGTTGTTCCACTGCCTTGTGGATTGTACCTCTAGGTCACAGGGTCGGAAAGTGGCTTTCTGAAGAAACCACCTGCTTCGGTTTGGACGCTTGGCAGTATCACAGCCATCACACAAATCAATGACTTATGTGACATGTATCTGAATCTTAACGAACGAACAAAAACGTGAACACGTATACACACTTATGCTTAGTGAATGAATGAAAGGAATGGTTAACACTTAATAATAACAATATGATCATCGAAAGTACAGATTGATATAGTATGCCTTCGAATGCGCTACAACTCATTTAAGTTGGTATAAAATAATAACAAATTTTTTCTTTATCGCGACTGATCACATATGTATGGGTTTCAACTAAAATACATTAAGTAGTAGTCATATTCTGATTAACTTTCATTTAGGAATGTGGCACTTATATTATAACTGTTATGTTTGAAGAGATTATGAGTTCACCTTATCAGAGAACGGAACAAAGACTATGACACAATGACAGTTAAGCTAGCTATTCCGACATGTCCCAGCCCCACTAACTAGAGTGAAAGTTAAAATTAGGAAGAGGGAAATATATTCCACGAGCAGCCAGAAGTATGAACAACCATGATGACAAGTCTAGTCGAAAATACACTCATTTATATATTGATTCATACATCGATTTTTGATACTTAGTTATAACAAATCATATGCTGAGTATAGGTCATGTTCATGTTCCCGTATGTCATATAGGAAAACAGTAACAAATACTATACTAAGTAATTATCACAATGAATTTTATTTATTTAAACACATAAACATTGGTACAAGGAGGCACCAAATAGATATGCGCCACATAAATCATTCGATTTGTGTGAGGGCTGTGATACTGCCCGGTTACCCAAACCTAAACAGGTGGTTGTCTTGGGGGGTCACAGTTGGAGCCTTTGACCTAAACGTCTGACCCACAAGGCAGTGGAGTATCGTGAGGAGATGCAGTCCCATGGTAGCCAGTGACCAACAATTGGTTCATACGCCATTTGTCCCTTCAGGATCCTGGAGCCAGCCCCTGTGCACCATTGGTTTGGGATGCGGTTAAAGCGGTGGACATTCGCTTTTCGTCCTCTCAATTTCGTAAACAACACCATCGCCACGAGAAGGCAGTGAGTAGGACTTCCCTGGCAAAGGCTGTATACGCGTGGCCGTGTGAGAGCATTTCGAGAGGGGAGGCGGGCCCACCCCACTCTCGGCCATACCAGGGCATTATGATTAAAAATCATAATGAGTAAATCAATCTAATTTTGACTTTTCATCTTGTCATATCAATAACATAACATATGATGAGAGTTAAGTTCACAGCAAATCGCTTTGTATGGTATTAAAATAAATAATGTATTACCTAATTACTTGCACTTGTTACCCCTCATGGAAGAGATAGGTCACTCACCAGCATTCTTCAATTAAACTCTGTCCTGGACACTCCTTTCCAGTTCTTTCTAGTTGCTATTCCTCCTTTTCATGTCTGCTTCTAATTAACAACGCAGTTTGTTCTATGGCCTCCCCTTTTTCATTTCCCTTCAGGATTCCAAGTTAGGGTTTACCCGCAATATTACTTAATGTTGTCGGCATAGGTTAACTGAATTCATGTTGAGAATGATATGGCAGTGTATTGATTTCAATTTTATCTCTAAGTTATAAATGAAACACACACTCATTCAAAATGATGAAAAGAAAACGTCCACAAAATGTATCACATTACCTTGATTAATGTGATAGGCCAGACGATAATTTATGGATGAACCAATGAAGTATAAGATAACAGGTCTTGGATTTTGGCGTGAAATTCATTCATCATCTATTTGGCTAAATAGAGTCTTGTCATTATAACTGATGTCACAGTTCATGATGAAAACCTTAAATCTAATTCATAACCTGAACCATCAATTGTAAATCATAATTCTAATTGGTTTATAACCCTCATTTAGTCCTAATCAGTAGATGTCGATTCTCAAGGTCACTTCAGTGTCATTCGAAAGTCGTCCATAAATTATAGTCTCATCAACAGATGATTAAAATATATCATCAGTCAAAGTCATATTATTCAACGGTAAATCTTATTAATGTAAACGAGTTAAATGGACACTTAAAACAACCTTAGCAAACTCTGGACCTTATTCAGCTAATCGAAAATCAACAAGTATGAATGAATGAATGAATGAATGAATGATGCATAGTACTAGAACTAGGATTTAGGCTTAGAATTTAAATTCACTTGATATTGTTTTTACTTGAATCTTCCTATTGATGTTTTAGGACTGAAATTGATCGGTACTGAGTTCGAGTCCCAGAGTGAACATCAACTCTGAGATGCAGGTATATCCAGCTGACGAGTCCCAAACAGGACGAAACGCACGTCCTGGATTCCACTGCTAGCCACTATCCATCTTTGCTTAGAATTTAGAGTTTATAATTTTCAGGGTTAGGATTAGGATGTACAGTTTACAAACATAAAGATGATAGTTAAGATTAAGATTTAAAATTTAATATTCACTATTTCAGTTAGGATTAATGTTTAAAGATTAGGATTAGGTCTTACATTTAATCTATATATACCCTAATCCTAAATCATAACTTTAAATTAAAAGTCTGTCACCTAATTATAATTTTTCAGTCAATCAGTCAGCTACAACGTGTAGGACCAAGCACATATATGCATCGGTCCAAGTTGTCATACCTCATTAACACAACAAGATGAACGCCGGATTCATAAAAGTAGTTAATTCAGAGGTGGTAATATATAAAAGAAAAATGGCAGTAAGGATATAGTACAGGAAGAAAGAATTAGTTGGTAGAAAGAAAGATATAAAGTAATTTTAATCTCTTAGTTTAAGGGAAAACAAAGAGTATATACACCTACACCATTGTGATCGATTCTGTGTCATGTCACCTAGAGTCTCCAACCATTGGTTACGATAGTAATATTTTGGTCATTCAAAACGTAATTATCTACATCCTATAGCCAACATTTTATTTTGATATATGCGCGCGACTATCGCAACTAATGGTTCGAGACTCTAATTGACATGGCTCAGAATCGATCACAACGGTGTTGGTGTATAAACTCTTTGTCTTCCCTTAAACTGTGAGATTAAAATCGCTTCATATTTTTCTTTCTACGTACTAAATCTTTTTTCCTGTACTATATCCTTATATGCAATCTTTGTTTTATATATTACCACCTCTGAATTAACTACTTTTATGAATCCGGTGTCCATTTTGTTGTGTTAATGAGGTATGACAACTTGGACCGATGCATATATGTGCTTGGTCCTACAAGTTGTAGCTGACTGACCATTATCTTGATTAGTTTGTGCTTATTCTTAAAGTTTATTGATAGGGGACTGGAATCTCATAAAAAATGTAGATGTAATTCATGTAACAATTATATTTTAATTACGTAATAACATGGTTCATTGGAAAGCGAATGTATACTGACTTAGAGGAGTACGATATTTATAACAACCATTTATTAACATTATCTTTTGAGTCATGAAACTTTATTTCTGTTACCTACTTATACATTGTGCTATTATCGTATAGGATTTTGTACGGTCCCATGATTCTTTTTTTTTCTAACCGGGATCTCAAACAATGACTCCTAAGGTGGTTATTATGTAGTAAGCGTTTATACAGTGTTGAATTAAGTAACTGTTACAACTATCAAGATACTCATCAGTCATAATTGTGTTCAATGCTCCCAACCCTAATACGTAAAAGCTAATAAAGAATATTTCTAGCTCACAATGATGATCGTCACAACATCTAATCTGTTAGTTAGTCAGGATCACTAGCTGTTGTACAAATAGGGTGATTTGAAGTGAACCATGTAAAATGGAAAAAAATAGCCATTGTTTAATTATTATTGATTGTTAATCAGATTGCCAAATTAGTCAGTCATGATCAAAGGAAAACTTAGTGTACATATGCGTCAGGCCAAATGTTCACACCTTAATCAATATGATTAAGTGGAATTGATAAGATGAATGTATAAGTGCTTAAAGGTAGTCGGGAGGGAACCATTTATCTTGATTTCATGCTAGTTGGCACTTGTTAGTTAGGAATACTTGCAATATTTTAGTAACTAATGTTCTCTATAGGATTCGAACCCGGATTATCCAGTTTCACAGATTGAGATCTCACTACTGAGCTGTTCGGTCAACGGATTCCTGCCGAATACCTCCGAACAATATCGAGTCACTTAAACTAGTTACCACTTTTCAACTTGATCGATAGAATTCGATCAGTACTAAACAGAGCTCGACGCATATGACATTGGCCACTACTGAATAATCAACCATTTGTAATGTGAATAGTAAGAAAGATGGGATGATTAAACATGCGAATCAAGTAGGAATTTCGTTCTCTGAGCTGGACGGATTGGTCGTAGAGCTTTCATTGTTCTTCTAAACAACCTTATCAGCTCAAATTTCAGGTAGAAGTCAAGTGTTCGAATTTCTCCACATATGACTCATAGATTTTGATGATGATATTGTTCAGAAGAACAATAAAAGCTCCACTTCTTAACTATCCAGCTGACAACGAAACTCCACCTAAATCATCCACGTGAGATATAAAATTTCTCTATCATCCTAATACAAATCAGGGTTTGGAACAAAAATCAGAAAATCAAATGAGTCAAATAATTTTGAAGATAAAGAATGATTAGTGCATAAGTTTCTCTGCGATTGACTCTGAACCATGACACAATTATTTATTTATTCAAACACATAAACGTAGGTATAGGGAGGCACCAAATAAATATACGCCACATAAACCATTTGATTTGTGTAGGGGCTGGGATACTGTTCGGTGCCGAAACAGAAGCAGGTAGTTTTCATAGGGAGTCACACACGGAGCCTTCGACTTACAGGTCTGATTCACAAGGCAGTGGAGCAACGATAAGAGATGCAGTCCTATAGTAGCCAGTGACCAACGATTGGTTCATACGACATTTCTTCCTTCAGGATCCTGGAGCCAGCCCATGTGCACCATTGGTTTGGAATGAGGGTTTTGCAACTACCCTAGGAGGAACCTTTATATACACCAATCCAGTTAAAGCACCGGACATTCGCTTTTCATCCTCTCAATCTCATAAACAACACCCCCGTCGCGAGAAGGCAGTGAGTAGGATTTCCTTGACAGAGGCTGTATACACGTGGCCATGTGAGAGCATTTCGACAGAGTGAGAGCTGACTCTCCCCACTCTCGGCCGTACCACCCATTGGTTACGGTTATCATAAAGATACCAACCAGATTAGTTTACACCTACTTATAACATCGCTCAGAATACCAGTTAACTAGTCTCAGATTTAAATATCTTTTCATTTCCTTGTTTTAATTTGTTTCTTTTTCTTTTTCATGTCACAAACACACACACACACACACGTGGATGGATAGTGGTTCAGATGTTGGCAATATTACTGGTTCAGTACATGAATCATTTCTTTCTTCATTTTCACCATTTAATCAATCATTCATTAATTTTGGTTTACCATCTACAACGGAATCATTTTATACAACATTTAGTCGTGATATACAAAAAGAATTATATTTACAATTAAAACAAGAACATGAATTACGTATGGATATATTACGTTTACAAAAGCAAACATGGTTATTACAAATGAATTTATTTAAAAAAATGAAAATTGAACAAATTTCTAGTTTATTTTCATCGCCTAGTTTAATGATGAATACAACATGTGTTACACCTTTAACTAATACTAATACTAATACTACTACTCCTATTACTGCTAATTCAGCATCGAGATCGTCTGTTGCTACTACTACCACCACTACTACTGTTAGTAGTATAAATAGTACTTGTACTACTTCAATATCATTGAATACAACAACTGTAACAAATGAAACAATTATGCCTACAAAATTAACAAAGAATAGGGAAGTAGTAGAAGTAGTAGTAGAAGAAGAAGAAGAAGAAGAGGAAGGAAAAGAAGAAATGGAATCACAATGTATCATATCAAATAGTTCTTTATCACCAATGTTTCCACAAGATGGTACAAATGGCATTGGTAATCATGATCATCAACAAGAAAATTTGTTAAATGATAATTGTAGATTAAATAATAAAAGAATGGAAAAAACAAGAAGCTTAATAGAATCTGCTTTGTATATTGTTAATTCAATTAATTATTGAATTTCATTTTATTTAATAATAATTGTTTTAACTATACGGTCTATTGATTGATAAGTCCTGGGTTCGAATCATGTGAGGCGGGATTATGGATGCGCACTGCTGAAGAGTCCCACAATGGGACGAAACGGCCATCCAGTGCTCCCAGGTTTTCAATGATCGTCTAGCTTCAATTGACTCATCATCTTGTAGTGTGGCGTGGAGTCACGGTTGACTATGGTCATCACTACAGGAAGACTAAGCGCCAGTTAACCGATAAGATCCCCCGTAAGCCAAATATCAGAAGGCAGTTGATGGCTATAATCGAAATGTATTTGTTGGCGATCTCGTGGTATCGAAAGAATACCGATATCGTGCCAAAGGAGTACAAGTGTGATTACTGAGCGAAACCGAATTCGTGCAAGGTCACAATCAACGGAAGAATGTATGTATTCTGGTACAGTGAAACAAACAAGTACGGTAAAACAATCCCTGGTACAATTGCTTATAATAATAATTGTTTCCATTACACTAATCGCGTTCTCTTGATAAAAGTAGGTCACTACAATCTCAACCAATGTTATTTCATTTTTGGTGTCAAGGGTTTAGCTATTTAATTGCGTGATCATTTATCAAATAGAACTCAAATCAATAGGTTTACTTAGAGAAATCGGGGTTTTGGGTGAGACTATAATTTATGGATGACCTTTGAGCGAAGCTAGACTAACCTTGAGAGTATCCATCTAATAACCCGGACCAACTGAGGGTTATAAACCTGTGCGTGAGGAATTAAAATTACGATTTACAGTTGATGATTAAGGTTAAGAATTAGATTTCAGGTTTTCATCACGAACTGACATCAGCTATAATGCCAAGAAGCTATTTAGCCAAATAGATGAATGAACTTCGTGTCACAATTCAAAACCTGTTATCTTTTATTTGATTGGTTCGTTCATAGTGTGACGAAGCATCCACTGTCCAAAAAAAATGGATATGGTAAGTAAGAACTAGGCTTAATAATCAGATGTTAATTCAATGAAGAGTGAGTGACCTAGAAACTAGGCGCCCCCTATTATTTTTAGAACTTTATCATACTTATTTTTCTGGTCGTATTTTCCAAATAAGCATACTATTTCATTAGGTTCAAGATTTATTCATCTAGTTTATGACCCTGATCTTGTCTGATTCAATTTATTCAAGGGGTTGTATCGGCAATATGCGTAAGTGAGTAGTTATTATTCAACCACATCGTATAACTGTGCTTTATCTATCAATCAGCATTCTGTTAACTCGTTCCAATGGAATAAATGCCGTTGTGCGATTCATCAAAAAATCTATAATCACACTAAGTCACACATAAAACTTACATAGGATGGATGACACGATTATTGTTATTGTTATCTCACGTTATCTATAACTTATCCCGTTAGTTTTCTCTTTTCTTATTCATATACAAAGTATATGCAAACTTGCAGGCACAAACTATTTATCTATTATGACTTGTTTTTCTGTAGCAAAGCGATGGTATGTTTGTGACTACTTAAGTTGGTTGGTTAAGAGTTGGCCAGATCCATTATTAATCAAGTGTTTATTTACTTCCTTATCTTTTAAATAGGCATCACATTTCCTATCATCCCATGTTGAATGTCTTACTAAATAATGAGTAAAATGTATAATGTGCCAAGTTTTTCAGGCTTCAAATCTAAATAATATTGTTTGCTATATTACTACTCTGATTTGGTATATTTTTGTCTTGATATATCGAATTCTCAATGAACTGGTGTTTGTAAATAGATTTCAACAGAAGTAAACTTCAGTACATTATAAACTAAAAGATAGGGTCGTGCGTACGTTTTGAACAGGGTCAGAAAAAATTCTGAGGTGATTACGCCAACTTGTCTTAGCATAAAGTAAAGAATTGTTATGCCTTAGCTGCATCCACCATGTAGCTTTAGCTGATGTCTAGGCTCACCATAGTTGTGAACATGAAATCACTCACTGAAGAGATAATCGGGAGCTTTTTATGGACCTCCGGGTATTTGTTTCTTCTGTATATATTGATGCCACCGAGTTAATTTTGTTTAACAGGTTACTATAAAGATTAGGAACAGGAACGGACTTAAGACTGTATTTTGTGGAACTCTTTGTGCTGAGTACCCCCAGCTCACGTGCACTCTGTTTATCTTTGTACGAAATATTCTGTTCTGTAAATAGTTTTGGAGCCAAGATAAGGGTGGGTCAGTGAGACCCAACTTTTGGAGCCTTGTCTATGAAGAATATGTGTGGCAATATGTAGTGTTCTAGCCTGGAGTCCCCCCGGGAGCTACTGCCGGTCCCAAGCCCGGATAAAAGAGGAGGGTTGGGGATGGGGTTAGCGTCCCCATCCCGTAGAAAACTAACGCTAACCAGAAAAAATTATTTAAACCTTTTAAACTCTGCCCTGGGAGTCAGAAGGTCTTCGTTTAGAAGAATTATGACGCCTCATGATGAAAGCCGAATTCATTCGGAAGTTACGAGGTCGATGCCCCTCCTGACAACCAGAGCGACCATTTATTTAGGTACATGGAATGTTCGTACAATGTGGGACACCGGGAGAGCCTTCCAAATTGCTGCAGAAATGAGAAGATACAACCTAGAGGTACTTGGGATCAGTGAAACACATTGGACACAAGTTGGACAACAACGACTAACTACAGGAGAGCTCCTGTTATACTCCGGCCATGAAGAAGAAAATGCACTACATACACAAGGAGTAGCATTGATGCTGTCCAAACAAGCGCAAAATGCGCTTATAGGATGGGAATCTCATGGGCCAAGGATCATCAAAGCCTTGTTCAAAACAAAGTAAGAGGGTATTTCAATGAACATCATCCAATGCTATGCGCCTACCAACGACTACAATGAAGACGCTAAAGATCAATTCTACAATAGGCTGCAGTCAATCGTCGAGAAGTGCCCAACAAAGGACCTGACCATTCTGATGGGAGATTTCAACGCCAAGGTTGGAGCGGACAACACTGGATATGAAGACATCATGGGACGACACGGACTGGGAGAAAGAAACGAAAATGGTGAGAGATTTGCAAACCTATGTGCCTTCAATAAGCTGGTCATAGGCGGCAGCATATTCCCACATAAACGCATACACAAAACCACGTGGACTTCACCGGATCACTCTACACGAAACCAAATCGACCATATTTGCATCAACAAAACGTTCAGGAGGACTATAGAGGACGTGAGAACCAAGAGAGGAGCTGATATAGCATCAGATCATCACTTGCTGGTCGTCAAGATGAAACTGAAACTCAAGAAGCACTGGACAACGGGGCGGACAATATCACAAAATTTCAATACGGCTTTTCTTCAGGATACTAACAAACTCAACAAATTCAAGATAGACCTCGGCAACAAGTTCCAGGCCTTTCATGATCTACTCAATGGAGAAGGAACTACTGTGGAGAGCAACTGGAAGGGGATCAAAGAGGCAATCACTTCAATATGTCATGAGGTCCTGGGCCACAAGAAGCACCATCACAAGGAATGAATCACTGTTGATACACTGGATAAGATTCAAGAATGGAGGAACAAGAAGGCAGCAATCAATACCAGCCGAACAAGAGCAGAAAAAGCCAAGGCACAAGCTGAATACACAGAAGTAAACAAACAAGTGAAGAGGAGCATCAGAACTGACAAACGTAAATATGTGGAAGATTTAGCAACGACGGCGGAAAAGGATTCAAGAGAAGGAAACATGAGACAATTGTATGACACGACAAAGAAACTCTCTGGAAATCGCCGCAAACCAGAACGACCAGTTAAAAGCAAGGAAGGCGAGGTAATCACCAATATTGAAGAACAACGAAACAGGTGGGTAGAACATTACAAAGAACTCTTGAACCGGCCATATTTACTGAACACTCCCAACATCGAAGCAGCACCCACGGACCTCCCAATCAATATTGGCCAACCAACAAATGAAGAAATCATCATGGCCGTCAAACAAATCAAGAGTGTCAAAGCAGCAGGACCAGACAACATCCCAGCAGAGGCACTAAAAGCAGACGTAGCGGCAACTGCAAGGATACTCCACATTCTCTTCAATAAGATTTGGGATGAGGAACAAGTACCAAAAGACTGGAAAGAAGGACTTCTGATCAAAATACCGAAGAAAGGCGATCTCATCAACTGTGATAATTACAGGGGCATCACTCTTCTCTCAATACCGGGAAAAGTCTTCAACAGGGTATTGTTAAACAGGGTGAAGGACTGCGTAGACGCCCAACTTCGTGACCAACAGGCAGGATTCCGTAAGGATAGATCGTGTACAGACCAAATCGCAACTCTACGGATCATTGTGGAACAATCAATTGAATGGAATTCATCACTATACATCAACTTCACTGACTACGCAAAGGCATTTGATAGCATGGACAGAACAACACTATGGAAACTTCTTCGACACTACGGCGTGCCACAGAAGAAAGTCAACATCATACAAAACTCATATGATGGATTACACTGCAAAATCGTGCATGGAGGACAGATGACAAAGTCGTAACAAGTGAAGACCGGTGTTAGGCAACGTTGCTTACTATCACCCTTTCTCATTCTCCTGGTGATCGACTTGATCCCGAAGCAGTCAACTTCTGAAGGAACGCCGCGGGATACAATGGACATCTAAGATGCAGTTGGATGATCTAGACTTCGCAGACGATCTGGCCCTTCTATCCCAAACGCAACAACAGATGCAGAAGACAAACAGTGTAGCAGCAGCCTCAGCAGCAATAGGTTTCAATATACATAAAGGGAAAAGCAGGATTCTCCGATACAACACAGAATGCACCAATCCAATCACAATTGACGGAGAAGATTTGGAAGATGTAAAAACCTTTACGTATTTGGGCAGCATCATTGATGAACAGGGTGGATCTGATGCGAATGTCAAGGGGCGGATCGGCAAAGCAAGAGCAGCATATTTACAACTGAGGAACATCTGGAACTCAAAACAACTGTCAACCAAC